TAAGTGATGGATATCAATCACATTTGTTTGGATCAATTGATGGGATTTCAAGTTTTAATAGTCAAAGGGCTGACCCCTCCTGGAGCGTTAGGGGCAGAGAGAAAAAGTGTTGAAGAAAATGATTAAGATGATATGGCCCCATCCTATTTTCATATATACAATTGCTGCATGAGCATAAAGAGACAAATAAACATTTTCTACCAGAATGCCCCCGGGTTTGGCCACACCCATGGGAACGTGTTCCTTGGTCATAGCTTTGAAAATGTTGAGATCCCCTACCTTTAGATATACAATCAAACATTGATGTTTCAAACTGGGAAAATTCAAAACATCGGGACTTCAACTCACAAATATTGAACATCCAACACCAAGATCCTGTACATCTCAGAATGTGATTCTTATATAACAAAACACAGGTGAAGACATTTTATTTAAAAGGTATAAATAAAGATTTACATTAATAAGAATAGCATGCTAATTTACACCCTGTAATTTGTATGGTGATCTAATAGAATTCAACATTTCTTCGTTTGTAAATTAAATTTCCGGAGCCAGTACCTGTGCTGCTTTGCTGAGAGTGATTCCCACTGACCGCTTGTTTTAATGATTTTGAATAAAAAAGATGAAAACTAATTATATATGGTTATCTGTTTTATTAAAAATTCACTGAAGTAAGTTTAAGTAACAATATGAACCATTAAACATAAACAAGAGTCATACGTAACAATATTCTTTGGTACAGGCCTATTTTTACGATTGAAAAGTACTTCCGATGAATGTGCATCAAATGTACTTCACATTGGTGTATTTAAGAAAACAATAGTGAGTTAATCAGTGTCTGTTTATTACTTGTAAATAATTGATATATTAATAAAGTATTTTTTAATGTTTTCATAATGAACAGGCCTGGTTTATACATGAAATCAGTGATAAATTATACGTTATATAAGGGGGGGAAATATGGACTTTGCCATAATTACAACACATTGCAAAATATGATTCTTCAAAGTTTGATTCATGGCAGTTTGACTGTGTACAATTGCTGGGTAAAAAAGGGACAAATACGTATAGAGTCATGGTTTTAGAATCGACTCTGGGTTTGGCCACGGCCTTTAGGACTTTGTCCCCAAGTCATAACACGGAAACCATTGAGATCCCCATCCTATTCTTATATATCCAATGGCTGAGCATGAACATTTGGATTCATGTACCAGGTATATACTGGCAGGATTTTACCAGGGGAATGGCCCTATCCCTAAGATGTTATTTGCTTTACCTACTTTCATTGAAAATTGTTTGCCATGATTGCAGGTTAGCAATGATCGCCCTCTGGGCCTTTTGTTGAACATCATTGTCCCGCAAATTATGATTTATTTCTCGCTATTTTAAATTATCATTAAACAAATATTGGGTAACAGGTGTTTTTTTTATTTGATGAAAGAAAGATGGAGCTAACTTAATATTTTATAAACACTGATCATCATGTCTTTCCAGAGAATTAGTAATTGAAGAGATGTGTCTTTTTGTATTGTTGAGTGCATTGTTGTATGGACTATTTTTTACCATATTTCATTAACATGTCTGAAATTGTGAATTTTCCTTTGTTTGCAGTTAACTGAATTAATACTAATACAGAGGTTACTTCTGTGTAAAAGCTTCTGTTTTCTTTACAATTTATCAAATACTTATTTATGGATGCTGGATCTTCAATTTCAAAATAGCAAACTTAATAATTGATCGGAATGTATGTTGACAAGAAAACCATTATCAAAACTAATGTAGTCATGTCGGCGTGTGACTAAAAATTCAAGCGTTTGAGCAAGCTTTTAGCCCACCACCATCAGATGGTGGGCTATTCAAATCGCCTGTCATCTATGGTCCATCGTACGTCCTTAAACAATTCTTGTTATTGCTATTTCTCAGAAAATTGAAAAATTAATATGCAAGTTCCCCTTGGTCCCTAGTTGTGCATATTTACTTTTGAGACTGATGCTATAACAAAATGGCCGACAGGCATCTTTAATTTTGACAATGAAAGTTTGTTATCAATATTTCTCAGGAAGTACTGGAAGGGTCTTTCTCAAATTTCATATGTAAGTTCCTCTTTGTTTGTATAGTAGTTGTGCATGTTTACTTTTGAGAATGATCAGATCGACAAAATAGCTAAACAGTGGCTATCTTGGACTTAGACATTTAAAGATTGTTATCAATATTTCTAAGAAAGAACTGAGGAATCTTTCTCAAATTTCATATATAGGTTTCCTTTTAGTTGTGAATGTTTATCTTTGAGACTGATAAGGTCAACAAAATGGCCGACTCGCTGACATATTTTTCACAGTTCAGGTTTGTTATCACTATTTCTCGGGAAGTATTGGAAGGAACTAGCCTTCTCATATTGCAATGATTTGTTCTATTTGGGTCTAGTTGTGCATGTTTCATATTGACATTTATCTTAAAAACTTGGATTTTGAAAAGATTGTTATCGCTATTTCTCAAAAAAGTGCTTAACAGATATTTCTCAAATTAAATATGAAGGGTCCCCTTCATCCATAATTATGTTTCTATTATTGTAAGACTGATTGAAAAAACAGGATGGCCACAGGCATTCATCTTGGATTTTGACATTTCAAAAATATTATCATGCACTATTTCCAAGGAAGTACTTTACAGATCTTTCTCATATTGCAATGATCAGTTCTATTTTTTTACATTAAGTACTGTACTAGTTAATATGAGAAACGACAAACTCACTTTGAAGGTTGTCTTTTATAATCGGCAGTATAAAGTTTTGATCAAAAGTTACCTCTAAAACAGTACAGAATAAGTACTGTACATGAGATGCTCTAATAAGGCCTAATTCAGTGGAAAATTAACACACATAAACCGTGTTATTTGGTCAATTGTTGATGTATATACTAAAAGTATTCCGTACAGCTGATAGAGGTTGTGGTAGATATGGTATATCCGGTGTTTGCTATAGAAACAATAGTACCCATTTAGATATACTCGCCCTAAACAGGTACACACTGAAATCTCACGTGAAAGAAAGCTACACAGCAAGCTGCCTCCAAAGCAATGTCTGTGGCGGGGTTGAAAACACCTTGGCGAAAGGCTGAACATAATTTCGTCAATATGTTGTACGTTATGGGTAGCCTCGGTTTGGCAGGAGTTCCCTGCAACTTCTTCAAACCCCGTAACATCGTTTGAAGTCAATAAAGTGGTAGTCCATGATAATTCACAAGTGGGTTTTTCTAGTCCCAGTGCTGTACAATGGTACTTAATACCGTACAGATGTAGTTTTATTAGCTCATCTTGCACGAAGTCCCAAGTGAGCATATGCCGTGGCGTGGCGTCCGTCCGTCCGTCCATCCGGCGTCTGGCGTCAATATTTTACTTTAAACAACTTCTTCCGAATAACCAAAATGCACAGGGTGATGATATTTGGCCAGTAGCATGCTGAGATGAAGGGCTACAAAGTTTGTTCAAATGAATGACCTTCACCCATATTCAAGGTCACAGGGGTCAAATATGTTAACAATTTTAAACAACTTCTCAATAACCAAAATGCCCAGGGTGATGATATTTGGACAGTAGCATTTTGGGGTAAAGGGCTATCAAGTTTGTTCAAATGAATGACCTTCACCTATATTCAAGGTCACAGGGGTCAAATATGTGAAAACATTAAACAACTTCTTCTGAATAACCCAAATGCACAGGGTGATGATATTTGGCCATTAGCATGCTGAGATGAAGGGCTACAAAGTTTGTTCAAATGAATGACCTTCACCCATATTTAAGGTCACAGGGGTCAAATATGTTAAAAACTTTAAACAACTTCTTCTTTATAACCAAAATGCCCAGGGTGATGATATTTGGCCAGTAGCATGCTGTGGTATAAAATTTGTTCAACATAATGACTTAATTTGCCTGTAGCTTTATTTTAGATCACTTTTAAGGTTACTAGTGTGAGATTTATACTAGGTGAGAGATGCAGGCCCATTGGGCCTCTTGTTGTAGCGTATTTCAACCTGAGGTTATAGTAACAACGTGTAACGAAGAAGATCAGTAAATCCTCTGCCATGTCGCTAAACACATTTGCTAGGTTATTGTTTACACCATACAAAAGGATGAAGTTCTTAAAGCAGGATGCTCCTGATGAGTAGGTAACTCTGGTTGACGGAGCCACTGCAGCATCCCACAGGTCACGTACTGATGGTCCTTATTATAATACAGAGGCACATTGCTGTCTGGAATAGGCTCTAGATGTACCTCTGTGAACGGAACTAGCTGGTGGAATCGGTCCATCTGAATACTTTGCCGTCGCTATACCTATATGGTTGATACCGTAAATATCAACAGGTGGCTCTGTAAAGGGCCCAATGAGGAATTTCTTGTCAAGTTCACTTGCTATGAGAGTATCCACAACGTCCTCTTGAGTAGTAGTACTTCGCAAGTTTTTACAAACTAAAGATGTATCTGGTAACGTTGAGATACCTAGGCCTATATCAAAAACCGTTAGATAACCCGGAAATCAAAGTTTGTACAAATTCTTTGTCAGGATGGTTCTTTAACTCTAATTCCAATGTAATATTTATCGGAAAAGACACTTCAAATAAATGTTTCCCTGTAGTCATTGTTTTGTGGATTTTTTGTTTTTTGTGGTCTTTGCTGATTGATTTTTATACTGAGCTCTTTACAACATGGAGGTATGGGCAGTTATCCCAGATCCAACCATATGCGTCGTTAAAGTTGTTGCAGACCTCTTTGCCTTGGTGTATGACACAAGGCCGTCCTTTTCTATCAGTCTGACTATCTACTTTCCTGTTGTTTGATTTGTGGTTGATGTTTACTTGAGGATGCACTGTTGCACCGTTCAGAACGAGAGGGCAAAACTCTTCAGTGTGGCTCCGGTTGCTACACAACTTGCAGCTGTTGCACTTAAAGCCTGAGCATATTGTGGTGTAGAGTTGATTGTCTCTAATTGCCCAGTTGACCTTAATGCCTCGCTAATGTAGGATGGCTGACGCCCTGGCGGTGAAGGCCTTATGATATTCATAGAAAATAGGGCCAGGATATGAAAGTACCAGTTCTACAATATCACGTTCGTATACATCCAATTCTTGGCGACGATTAGGGTAATGTCCACACATAATGTTACGATATACAGAAAAGGCCTTGACGAACTCTCCAAGTGTTCGTGACTTGCAGAGTCTTGGATCGGTTTGTAGTTTGAACATCTGTCCTCCTACTTTAGTGAACCGATTGTATCGAGTGATATCATTAGCATAGGCAGGTAGTAATAACAAAACAAGGTTCACGTCCTTACCTTCGAGAATCTGTTGGCGGGCAGCAGGTGGTACTATTTCTACAGCAGGATCAGACTCTGATGATATACATGTCTGCTGTAAGAAGAGGCTCTGTACATGTGGAGGTGTTACCAGTCCACCATCTGGACTAATATCTGGTCGGCTGGTTGCTGGAACTACAGTTTCTGCAGTGTTCTGTGTCTGTGAGGTCGACATTGGGCCATGACCTGACATGGCCATAACTTGACCCACTATGTTCCTGTTAAAAAATGTGTAGTGGTATTTGATGGTGACGTAATGTCCATAGCTGTCATGGCGGCTCCTGCATTCTCCTTGTATAATTGAATTAGCATTGTTTTGCTAAACTCCTTGGGTGGCGTTATGCTCAGGCCAGCAAAGACACGGTGTTTTTGTAATATGACTGTATAGCTTGACCATCAGAAAACAACTGGGCAGTTGGCTAGAACTGTTAGAACAAAGAGCACTTGTCATGTGACCACGCTAGGTCCTAGGATTAGATCTCATACTCTTTCCCTTATCAGTAAGGAACCAATACCCAATATAGCACATGTAAATTAGGCAAAGAGGGGAGACTCTGTTTACTGTGTTGCTGTCAGGACAGTGAGGTTATGGAAGGTCCCAATGCCCAGATGGCTGAGCTTGAGATAAGAATAAATTAGGTAGGGAGAGGAGACCCTTTGTTTACTGTGTTGCTGTCAGGACAGTGGGGTTATGGGGTGTCAGAATGCCAAGCTGGCTGAGCTTGAGATAAGAATAATCTTGACCCCTGCATTACTAATTGGTTGGATGCATGTCCTCTCTATGATCGGTGATCATGACCTGCAGATAGGGGAGATGTCTTGTGGTAAGACCGGCTAGAACCCAGATGGCCCTGTGAATTAATGTTTATGCTGATAGGGAACCGATGGACCATATATACATTCTATACTACGTCTGCTCAGATGTTTACTTAAAATGAGATGAAAGCAGATGAAAGGCAGACCCCTTCTATGCTGTGCAAACCTGCCTAATAAAATTATGTCGTATTAGACTTTAAAAACTTTTAAAGCGTTTGATAACTCCGCCTTCATGTATGATCAACATAGTTTGTAGCTAAGAATAGGGTATATTCAATAATTTTGTATTGAGTTTTTAATTAGTTCACGGTATAACATCGAAAAGAATTATCAAGTCATTGGGTGTTTACTACACCATGAATGGCCTCACTAGATCATCAAAACTGTCCGGACGTCTGACCAACTTCCATGTTTGTCCGTCAACAATCACCTCAGCTGGCCGGAGCTGGAACCAAATACAAACAGTGTTTTAAACCGAAATAAAGGAAAACACTAGCGCTTTATAAGTGAGTTAGGGTTCTTAATGCAAGTGATCGCCATCTGAAGCTGTTAAATATCAAACTTTCGTTTAAATTTTGACTTGAAAGCAAAAGTGATTATGTGTGGACAACAAAATTTACTACTTTATAGCTTTATTAATTGTGTCTCCCTTAGGCTGGCTGTAGTCTCGACTCTGCTTATCTACTAACAATCCCAACAGCTGGCTGTAATCTTGACACTGCTAGTCTACTAACAGTCCCTACAGCTAGCTGTAATCTTGACTCTGCTCTTCGATAAATAGTCCTTATAGCTGGTTGTAACCTTGACTCTGCTCTTCGACTAATAACCCATACAGCTGGCTGTAATCTTGAATCTGCTCTTCGACTAATAGTCCCTACAGCTAGCTGTTACCTTGACTCTGTTTGTCTACTAACAATCCCTACAGCTGGCTGTAACCTTGACTCTGCTCTTCGACTAATAGTCACTACAGCTGGCCGTTACCTTGACTCTGCTAGTCTACTAACAGTCCCTTTAGCTAGCTGTAACCTTGATTCTGCTCTTCGACTAACAGTCCCTACAGCTGGCTGTTACCTTGACTCTGCTAGTCTACTAACAGTCCCTACAGCTGGCTGTTACCCTGACTGCTAGTCTACTAACAATCCCTACAGCTGTCTGTAACCTTGACTCTGCTCTTCGACTAAGAGTCCCTACAGCTGGTTGTTACATTGACTCTGCTCTTCGACTAAGAGTCCCTACAGCTGGCTGTTACCTAGACTTTGCTCGTGGACTAACAGTCCCTACAGCTGGTTGTTACCTTGACTGTGCTAGTGGACTAACAGTCCCTACAGCTGTAAAAGTTATCACTGGTGCATCACTTAATATAAAACTAAGCACATACTAATAAATGCATCACTAGTTCATTACTTATCCTTTTTATATCACTTAATTAACAAATAATATAAAACCTATCACTGGTACATCCCTAAGTATCAAACTTATCACTGGTACATTACTAAGTATCAAACTGTTCACTGGTACATCACTAAGTATCAAACTAATCACTGGTACATCACTTAGTATCAAACTTATCACTGGTACATCACTAAGTATCAAACTAATCACTGAATCATCACTAAGTACCAAAACTTAACACTGGTACATCACAAAGTACCAAACTAATCACTGGTAAATCACTAAGTATCAAACTTAACTGTTATATCACTTAGTATCAAACTAATCACTGGTTCATCACTAAGTATCAAACTAATCACCGGTACAACGCTAAGTATCAAATTAATCACTGGTTCATCACTTAGTATCAAACTAATCTTGTACATCACTTAGTATCAAACTAATCACTGGTACATCACTAAGTATCAAACTAATCACTGGTACATCACTTAGTATCAAACTAATCTCTGGTACATCACTAAGTATCAAACTAATCACTGGTACATCACT